CATAAAATCGAAAGAATATCCATAGTTTTTATAGATAAGGGAAAACAAAGCAAGTTATCACACGTTTAAAAAATCTTGGGTTTTTTCAAATCTTAGACCAATTCTTTTGTATCCTTCCAAATAAATTTAATTTAGTCTTTAAATTTCCTGGACCTAATAATAAAGCTTTTTTTTTTTAAATGTAAATCACTTTCAACGTCGAAGGCTAAGTTTTTTAAAAAATTTTATTTTAATAAGGTGTTCTCAAAAGCCCTGTCTCAGAAAAAAAAAAAAAGAATGGAATACCCTAGTTCTAAAGTTTATCTTTAGAACTAGGGTATTTCAATAAAGTGATAATGATTGCTAATACGATTTCGCTCTACTCTCTCTCTCTCTCTCTCTCTCTCTCTCTCTCTCTATATATATATATATATATATATATATATATATATATATATATATATATATATATATATATATATATATATATATATATATATATATATATATATATATATATATATATATGAAGTACATGGGTACTTCATGGCTGATGATTGCCGATAGGCATGAAACTTGAAGTTCCATTAAAAGTTGTTTTTTCTATATTTAAGTATAAAATGCTCTGTTTTTGAAAAACTAAATATTTCTTAAATATTAAGATTAAATATTTATTGTTTTTAAGCGCAAAGTCCTGGACTCTATGCCGCCTTTATACCTAAGGACTCCGGGTTCAAAAATTGATTGTATCTGATGTGTGTAGTCTTGATTCTTTCCTTATTAGTAGCCCTTAAGCCTTTTTATATTTTAAAGCTGCTGGATACCAAAAACTAAAAAGAAGTAAACTTTTTGTGACTTTCAAATCCAGAGTCCATTTTTGGTATTCCGCATCCATGATATATAGATATAAAATATGAACAATATATACATATAAATTATGAATATTATATACATAAAAATTATGAGTATTGTGTAAATACAAATTATGAATATTATATACATAAAAATATAAATGCAATAAGAGCAAAATAGCCTATAAAAAAACCTTATGATATCTTTGTACAAATATACAGGATCAAATTGATATAGTTTTTAAAACCATGCAAATTAGTTTGTGTTGTGATTGTTGAAGATGATTGATTTTTAAACTTTAAATGTTGTTTTGATAACAAATCTTCAATGTCTGACTCAAAGCATTAAAAAAGTACATGCCTTTTTTAGAAAAATTTAAATAAACACTTTTAATGACACGTTTTAATTGTATTTAAATGCGCATTTTTGCACATGATGAAATATTGAGTTATATATTATTGAAAAGTATGCTGTTGTAAGGCTTCAGATGCTAACATCAATAAAGCAAGGTATTTCAAAAAAAATGATTCAGTAGCTTAGAAACATTCATCTTTTTCCTTTAAAAACAAAACAAAAAATTATAAATAACTTTAAAAATTTGAACTTTATAACAATCATAGAATATTTATTAGTATTTTAAAGAGCACAATCTAGTTATTTATTTTTCTTAGGAAGAGGGAGGATAAAAAACTCAATTATCTCTTTATTTCAAGTCTTTTTTTTTTAAATTCTGCATACTACATTTTGTTTGATTGTGCGATAACAAAATTTTCACTACAATGAAATTATAGTTGCTGCAATTATCGTAATTTTTACTTTTAGGACAAGTCTAAAAACTAATTTATAATTTAAAAGCTTGGTAAAATAATTGTGTTTTCCATGAATTTCTAGAATTAAAATATAGAAAAAGCAAAAATTAAAGTATTAGTAAATTTCATTGGTTTAAGATTGGATTTGATTAGGGATTGTCCATAAATTATGCAACGCTAAATTTCACTAATAAACAAAACATAAGAGATCAAAGGTTTTTTCTCGCAGAGCCTTAAGTCAAATAAAAAATGAAAACTGTCATGTAAAAGAATTAAATAATATCTACTTCTTTTTTTAAAATAAACTTTACATTGCAAAATATGTGGACAATCCCTAACTGAATGTTTAAACACTTATGCAATCAACTTTAAAAAAGATATGAAATATATTACAAAAATAATGACATTTTTCTTTTTCATCAGCTTCTCTTACTATTATCTACTTCATCAGCTACTCAGCTACAAAGCTACTCTCACAACTATATAACTAAAGAAAAAAGTAAAGTTGCTTTAACATTTGAAACTTAATTGAGCTTGCACACCCTACACATTTGTTTGAAATTAGTTCAGTGGTCAGTAATATATTTGAGAAACTTTAATAATTTTAAACTAACTTTATTAGATAGTTTTGATAAAACTTGTCAAATATAATGACTTTAGTAATATTTAAGCTAAACTATTGTAAATACGGTAAAACTATTTAATGTATTTTAATTGTATAATAAGCATCATTATCATTTGAAGAAACAAAAGATAACAATGTTGGAGTATGATTAAAAATTTTCATCAGACTTACTTAAATACACATAATAATATAAGAGAATACACATAAAAAATACATATAATTATACAAGAGAAAATTTTTTTTTTAATTTTTTATATTTAAGAATATAACAACTGATGCAATAATATCATAGCTGTTGTAAATATAACTTAAAGCTGTTGTAAAAATAACTTAAGCTTTGAAATTATATTATTACTTTATAAAAATATACCATCTATAATTTTAACACTATATTTGTAAATAAAAAAAAAAAAAAAGAAAATAACTAAATTCTTATTTAAAAATTACTGGTAAATTAATAATAAGTTCCGCATCTAAACTTTGTCAATAGAGTTCTTTAAAACAGCCATCTCTAGTTAAAATTTTCTCTTTATTTCTCTCAGCCATCTCTAGTTAAGTCTAGATTAAATTTTGTCTGGAGTAAAAAGGACAAAATCTAATCTAGATATAATTTTTATAAATAAAATCTTTTAATATTGAAAAACAAAAAGAATATTAAAGAGTCATATACTTAAGAAATTATAACTTTTATGTCAACTAAAATATATAAAAATTATAACTTTCATATCAACTTAAAAGTGACTTAAACCACTCTGATTCTAACCATTATATTATTAATAGTTTTATTATAAGCATTTAGTATATTATTAATAATATTATTATTATTAATACTATTATAAGCATATAGTATATTATTAATAATATTATTATAAGCATATGGAATATTATTATTAATATTATTACAAGCATATAGAATAATATTAATAATATCATTATTAGCTGGTAAAATTTGTAATGTTTTAGATAAATTTTAAGTAGAAGTTGACTTACATCACTTAGATTCTAGCTAGCTAGAATCTAAGTGGTGATTTTGGATGATTCTAGATAGCTAGCTATCTAAAATCAGAGCGTATATAAACTGTATAATAAACTGTTACTCGATTATTGGTTAGAAATCGATACAAACTTTGATTCTTTCTAGCTTTGATTCAAGCTAGCTGATACCCTTTATGTATATCACAAATTGGTTTGTAAAGTTGGATAAACTTCAAAATTGATTGTACTTAAAAAAATATATGCACTTTTAAGTTAAGTGCTTTTTTTGTCTTAAATTTGTAAAAATTAAAAGAATCTTACAAATTTAAACACATGTGTAATTGTGTAGACTACTGATATATATTAGATTTTAATTAATTTACTACAATGTTTTAATACCAATTTATTTTAAATCACTCACCAAACAATTTTTTGTCTACCCAACTAACTTCGAACAAAAATTTTTTTTCAGCCGGCTGACGACGTAACCACTTAATAAAAAAAAACAAAATTATTCAAGTTGCAAAACCGAACACGGAGTTGCAACAGCGAACAAAAAAGTTACCATAACGAACAAGAGATGTTTTATCGAACAAGCGCGTTGCGATACAGAACATTTTAGTTGCATTACCACACATTCACATGATCATCATCATCATCATCATCATTTTCTTCTTCTTTTTTTTTCTTTTCCTTATTCGGCAAATACTACACCATACTAATACACTATAATACTAAAGTTTATATAAATATGAAATCTCTTCAATTATAAGCTTTGCTCTGTAACAAAACTTGCAGTGGCTTATAGATTTAAATTCTGGACTTAAAATCAACTGTTTTGTTAGACAACAAACCTCATTTATTTACTGCAAAAAAATATTGCAATAATTTTTGCATTCCTATATTGATGAATAACAACCCTTCTACACTCAGCCAAAGTCTAAAAACACATTGTAAATGTAGTTAGACTTGCTTTATTTGCCAAGCTTGAGCTGCTCTCCCATTGTTGTAAGGTTGCATTACTTTCTTTTTTCTATAAATACCATCATGGTCAACGCTTAAACAAGCTATTATGAGCTATCTTTATTGAACCAAAACTCATTCTTGCTTGGCTTCTTATTCAACAAGTTGCATCCTTTTACTGTATCTGTCCCTTCATGCTATAAAACTGTTATTAATCCAGTTTTTTTCCATGCACACCAAAAAAACCTTATAAATCTAAACCATCTTCATGTTCTTCTTTTATATATAACCTACAACTTTTTAAGTCTTTACTTACTTTTACTTATTCTTTATTTTAAAGTAACTCATAACTTAAAAGTGGTTGCTTGCAACCTTTTTGGAAGTAAGTTAGAGTTTGAAAATATATAAATATATGTCAGTATTTAATAAGTAGTAAATACAAGCATAAAATTATAATATATAAAGTATTATATATTTTTTTCTAGCCTTGGCTATCAACCCCTGCTAAATCTTTTAGTTTTGCCAGGGCTGGGTTTGAAAAAAGTTTTCTTTTTAGACGGGGACAAGTACAGGGTTCCAATGGGTTTAAAATTCCCAAAATTCAATGACTTTTTTTTATTTTTTTTTTAAAGTAATAGGACATTATTAGTAAAAAATGTTTTCCTGGTTAAAACCCTGGTAAGTAACCGAATATAAATATATAATGGAAATACAGTTTCATCAAAAAATAATTAAGAGAAATAAAAATTAAGATATAAAAATCATTAAAATTAATTAGTTCTTTTTTTAACTCTCAGGTTACAGGTTGGTGAAGTAGTTACTACAATTCCAAGTACATTTTTGTTTTTAATTTGTTTACATTTTTATTTTTAATTTGTTTATTTGCATTGCTAAATTTTTGTGAGTGGAAATTTTCTGTTAAAAAAGCTAAAACTTTCTGACCAAAATTAATCTAAAATAATCCTGTGTTTCATGTAGCAATTGGTTTCAATGTTGAAAGTGTTTCATATAAAAATTTAAAGTTTCAAGGTTACTTGTTTTTTTATTATTATTTTATGTTATCTAGTTTTAGAAATTTAATTTTTTAAAATAATAAAAAGACAGAAGTAGTATAATCTTTTTTTAAATGTTAAATTTTCAAACTTTTTTTTTTTTATGTGCAGTTTGGGACTTAGGAGGTAAGTTTTATTTTTGCTTATTTTTTATTTAGTTTTCTTACAGTTTTATGGTTGAAAAAAAGTTTAGGTTTGTTCATTAATAAAATTAAAAAAAAAAAATACAAAAAAAAAAGTGACCAAATCAAAATTTTCTAAATAGTATTAAAATTTTTCGTCTTGATCATATGATTTTATTTTTATTCCAATATTTTGAAACAGTTTCCATGGTAATTGTAATTTTAATAAATTTAGAAGTTGTCTATTAATTTAAAATTCATAAATTATATTTATTAAAATAAACATTTCTTAAATATTTTTGTATTGGATTTTTTTTTGTATTATTTATTTTTACAAAATAAATTATTTGTGAAAATTTGACGAGGAAATTTGCTTTATTGAGTTTGGGTTTTTGTATTAAATCATTTATATATACATGGTATTTTAAGTCATTTATTATTACTTATTATTACTTATTATTACTTATTATTACTTATTATTACTTATTATTACTTATTATTATTATATAAGTCATTATTACTTATCGATTAATCATATGAATTATAATCCTATTTATTGATTATGTATTATTCTCTTTAGAGTGATATTATTTTTTTATAAGTTATATTATTATATTATATTTTATAAATTATAAATAAATTCAAAAAATTAAAAATCTGTAAAATAAAGTGTCAATATAATACTTAAACATAAAATAAATACAATAAAAATAATATAAATAGTTAAGAAAAAAAAGTTTCTTCTCGAGGCTTTTTAAGGCTTTTTTAAAAAACTTTTATCCAGTCAACTTTTCCAACATTTTTAACATAAAAATTTCACAATCAAGAAACAATGAAAATGAAAAATTAATTGATAATTTTCTTCTGATTACTTTAAGTTGTTCTGATTAGATCATTATCACATTTGGGTTGCACTGCTTTGGTGCACCACATTTGTGGTAATAATTTACATCTTTGCTCACTTTTTTTTTAAAAGGTTCATATTTTATAGTTATAGAAGTGTGAGGGGGTTTTAGTTATAAAAGAATGAATAAAAAATGATGAGCCTTTTTAGTAGTGGTTGACCAAAGATGGATATTAAAATGCTTTCAAGCTAACTTTTTTTTACAACTTCTTTTAATCTTAGATAATAATAAGTTTTTTAATCAAATTATTAATTTTTTATAATTTCATATAAATAATAAAAGTAATAAAATTTCATATAAATAATAAAAATAATAAAATTACTCATAGAAAATTTTATGCAAATAATTAAAAGCTTTCATTTGCAAAATATTATCTTCCTTTACCTACTAATCAACTATTTTTAATTAGATTAGATATAGTTTTAAAACCATGTGCATTGCAATGGCTTGATTATTTATGGTTTTTTTAAGAAGTGCTTCTTAAAGTATAGACCATAATAGTATCCATCTATTTAAGTGGATAGACCATAATAGAATTCATCTATTTAAGTGGATAGACCATAATAGAATTCATCTATTTAAGTGGATAGACCATAATAGTATTCATCTTTTTAAGTGGATAGACCATAATAGTATTCATCTATTTAAGTGGATAGACCATAATAGTATTCATCTATTTAAGTGGATAGACCATAATAGTATTCATCTATTTAAGTGGATAGACCATAATAGTATTCATCTATTTAAGTGGATAGACCATAATAGTATTCATCTATTTAAGTGGATAGACCATAATAGTATTCATCTATTTAAGTGGATAGACCATAATAGTATTCATCTATTTAAGTGGATAGACCATAATAGTATTCATCTATTTAAGTGGATAGACCATAATAGTATTCATCTATTTAAGTGGATACATGATATTAACTAAAAATTAAAAAACTAGCAAATGATTGAATTAATATTTTATTTAGAAATTTCTTAGAAATTATTTTGAAATGGTAAAATGTTTTGTGAAAAAAACAAAAAAAAACTTTTTTTCTAAATAAAAATTTTAAATCAATCAATTGAAATTTTAGTTTTTGGTATGGTTTTCAATCGAAATCACACAAAATCATTTTTTGCTTCTTACTGAATTTATAAAAAGTACCAAAATCAAAGTTTTTGGCATTGGTTCAAATTTAATGCGGTATTGGTGTAGTGGTATAGCGCTCACTTTATAAATGAAAGGTTCCGAGTTCAATTCCCACAATCCCCACAAAAAAAAAAATTATTGAATTTTAGCCAAAACTGAAATGGAAGTGGTTAATCACTAAATTTCAACTGTATTGCTTTTCCCTAAACATTTTAAAGTATTTAAATTTTTTTATATAATTAGTTCTCTGATTATTGTTATTATTACTATTGTTGTTGTTTTTGTTGTTGTTGCAAATAATTAGATAAATATAAAAAAGAAAGCACTCATACAATAAGTTTGACAACAGTATATGTGGTTTATCACAAATTTGTTAATTTTTTTCCAAAGTTCAATGTAGATCATATCACAATAAAGTTCCACGTTTTCTTAATGCCATTTTCTTAATGCCATTTTCTTATTTAAATATAAAATAATAGAGTTAATGCAATTTTTTACTGGTAGTTGTTGCTATGATGAAATCAAAATCATGATGGGAGTAAAAATAGAGCACCTCAGTTTACCTAGTAATATTTTGGCAGCCAATTTTGTGGAGCAATACCTATAAAAAACTAAATTAAATAAGCTTAATTCTTTGATATCTCTAAGATATCAAAGAATTCAAAATCAAAGATAATGTATTGCTTTTTCAATTAATTGACCACGCTTGTTATTTTTTAACAATTGGACCACGGCTGTTTTAATGTTTTAATAATTTAAAAGTAATTTAAAAAATTATTATGTTTGGAATAACTATTAATATTTGATCTAAAATTTTTATTTTACACAAAGGCTTTAAATAAAAAATTAATTTTAATGATCGTTTAAATTAAAATGAATGCATGTAAATTAGATGTTATATTTAAATGTTTTTAGTAGGCATGTATTTTTTATGATATTTAAACATTTAGAACTATTTTTCCATGTCTTTTTTTAATTTATATATTTTTTTCTAGCCTTGGCTAGAAACCAGCTGTTTAACCAGGAAAACATTTTTTACTAATAATGTCCTATTATTTTTTTAAGTTAATATAAATTAAAAGTTAAATTAAAATCTTCCCGTTGCCATGGAATCGATTTAAATGCTTTATTTTGTTTATTTCTATTGTTAATTTTTTTTTTTTTACAATTTTAACTTACTTTTTTTTAATTTGCTTTTTAGGTGCTCCAAGAAGACCTAACGGTCTTGTCACAGAGCACCGCGGAAGTACATTTAACCAGGAAGTTTACGCTTCTTTCCTAACCGTAACACAAAATATGTCCAAAGTTCGTTTCGAACCTGGATCTCCTGCTTATAAAGCAAGCTCTCTAACCACTGCGCCACGGCCACAAACTCTGAGCCACTTACTAATGAAATGATTAAAAATTACTATTTTAAAAAGACTACATTATTAAAAAAAAATTTTTTGCATTTTAAAAAAAAAATTGTTTATACAATTTAAAAATATTATATTTTTTAACTTTATTTGCAAGTTTAAGTTTAGCTTTGCGTTTGGTCAAGTTGTCAACAATTAAAATCATTTTCGTGGTCAGCAATAGCGTTCGATCGCATGCCATTCTTGTCCAAGCCTAGTTAAGATATTATTTTTCTACATTTTTTTTTTCTTTTTTTTTTTTTTTGAAAAAAGAGTTTTAGATGTAGTTTGTTGAAAGGTCTGGCCACAACAATGTATAAATGTTTTTTGGACAATAGCTCTTTTAGCTACATGGCATGGAAAAATACCCCATTTACCTAAAAATATTTCTTTTCTTTGCCATCCAAATTTCAAAAAATTTATCATATGTGAAAGTAATGGTATAGTGGTAGAGTGCTTGCTTCATAAGCAAGAAGTTCCCAGTTTGTTCCCTACCACGTTCCTGGTAATATAAGGTGCTTAACTTATTTCTTGGTGTAGCAACCTTTTTTGTCAAGGTTCCTGTTTCGAAGTTATAAGGTTGTGAGAGATTGTAACCACAATTAGAGTAGCCTCTTGGATTGTAGTGGACTTTTCTGCCTTAGAGAGGTGAATTAATAAAAGAAAAAAAATTAAAATTATGATAAATTTGAGATTAGAAAAATATTCTTTTAGGAAAAAGGCTGCTTTATAAAGTAACAAATTGTGAGTGTTACTACAAGAGATATGTTGGTCAATTTGCAATGCATAAATTATTATATAAAATTGTTTATTATTCTAAAATTAAGTGCATTATAAAATGTTTTGAATGTAGAAATGTCCAAAATAATCGCAAAATGTTATACCAAATAACAAAAGGTTATAAATTAAAAATACTGCTTATTCATAATAATTTTGACTTGTTTGAAGTTATGTTGACTTAAATTTGTTTAATTTATATATATTTTCAATAAATTTTTTAAAATGTTTTGTTTTCAGGACAAACAAGTATTAGGTATGTGAATTTTTATTTTTTCATTTTAAATATATAATATAAATTTTTATTTTTTCATTTATGATATATAATATAAATTTTTATTTTTTTATTTATAATATTTACTATTACTTTGTCTTTTGTCTTACTTTGTTTTTTGTTTAATGACAAATTGCTTGTCATTAAACAAAAACAAAAACAAAAAAATAGTTTTTATATTTTGAAAAATATAATAAACAGACAAGTACTTGTTCGGGTATTGTTTTTTAGATATAAATCATTACAGGATCTTATACATACATTAGGTTTTACACAGGGGTGTGGAGTCGTAAAAAAAAGTTGTTAAAATTTTCAGAGTACAACTCCGACTCCAAAGCAAAATTTTTGAAATGTTCTCTGAATTCTTCAAAAATATTATGCAATAAGTTAAAAAATTTTTTTGCCAAATTTTTCAAAAGTTCTTTGAGGTTTAGTATGAATACAAAATTAGTTGAATATTTTGTACATGCTTGTGCAATACCGAGAAGTTTTTCTAGTGGAGTTGGAGTTGCGATTTTTTTAGGGACTCCAATTCTGCTAAAAATATTGCGACTCCGATTCCACAGCCCTGGTTTTACATACATAAGTATGTAAAACCAAGTTTGTATTAGGTTAAAAATATTCTCTGATTTGTTTTTTAAAATCTACTTAGTCATTAATAATTTTTAACTCCTTTTTACTAAAAAATAATGATATAAATAATGCTTTTTAGTACTTAATAATAATGGAGTTAATAGAAAATTTAAAAAAAATTACATTTTACTACAATTAAATTTTATTATTGTATTAATTTGTATAAATTATGTAACTGGTGTATAAATTATGTAACTGGTGCATTTGTGCTTTTTAGTTGTTTCTACTTTTAAAAACTTTTTAGATTTTAATCTTTTTTGTTTTCAGGCCATATTGGCGTTGTTATTATGCCAACACTGACGTTGTTATTTATGTGGTAGATAGTCAAGATAAAGAAAGAATTAGCATTTCAAAGCAAGAGTTATTAGCTATGCTAGAGGTCTTTTAATTTTTACTTTTAGTTTTTATTGAAAAATTACTTCATACAAAACTAATTTATGTATTTATAAGTGTGTATTGTTTATGTTACTATGGTTACATCCTACGGTTGATACATTACATCTTATGTGGTACTTAAATTACATATTTTTTTAAATTAAACTTTGAATTGTTTAAAAGTATAATGATGAGTTGTTGTACCACAAGTAGTATTGACTGATAGAATATATAAAATTTAAAATAAAGTTATAGTAACCTTAAACCTTCATACAGATTTCAGAGAAACTTCAGAAGTAATAACTGTTACTCATACTGATTCATAACAAAGTTAAGCAATCACTAGAAAATTGAAAAAATTAAAATAAAATTAAAATAAAGTGAATTAAAACAATAATAGTTTTACTTGCATTTTTGATTGTCAGAAAAATGAACAAGATTTTATTTGAATGCAGAAAACTCTAGTTAAAAAAGAACTTTATTACTCTGTGCAGCAAACCTAGTGAAAATTAATTCTTCTTTTTTTTTTTTTTTTGACTGAAGAAATAAGTAATAAAATAAAATAATGTGATGGATCATAAGCACACACAAGCATGCTTATTGACTCAGAAAAAAAATTAAGATCTAAATAGTACATAAGAAAGTTACATAAAAGAAATTACATATATACAACTTAGAAATGGAAAAAATTATAAAAATATGCATTTTAAAAAATATAAGCAAAGTTTGAGAATAATTGAAGTTTAAAACAATTTCAAAATTCAAAAATCTATCTTGAAAATTCTAAAACCTAGCTCAAATCAAAATTTAAAAAGGTAACTTCAAATTCAATTCATTTGGTCATGGATCAACGCTCTATTGGTAAACAATCAAATTCAATAAACTGAGTGTTTGAAGCAATTTTTAAAAGAGTAAAAAACTTAAAGGAGGCGATCTCTTTTTCTCTATCAAGCAAATGGGAGACATTTTAAATTTTAGATTTTTTTCAATTTTCTAAACCTGATCGTGTTCTCTTTTATGCAACTGATAATTTGATTACGAATTAATTTTTTTTTTTTAATTTCTTTTTTAAATTTTGTCTTATTTATACAATTTATACAGCTAAATGATTTTTCTTTTCTAAAATTAAAAAAATTATATATTTTCCAGATTTTTTTTTATTGAATAAGAAACACAAAATATTGAAATTAATAGAGCTTACAGTATTAATATACATATTATGAGTTCTGATATCTTTGATAAAAGAAGGCTTTCTTCAAAAATGAATCACTTGTATTAAATGATAACAATTTTTTTTTGTACCTACAACAAATATTTTTGAACCAACATTTAGAGGGGCAAAGTTATTTCTAGGTTAAGACACAAAACCTTCTCATTCAATACCAGTAATTAGTTTTCGATTGGTCTTTGATAAAATAAGACCATTAGAAAATTAAACCGTTTTTTTATTTTACATTATGGCTGATAAGGGTTCAATAACCATGAAACTTTAACTTTCATAAAGTGAATTTTTATTCTAAATTTAAAGCTTGATATAATGGACAGGCACTATACAGATTGTACCTGCTCAAACCCAAAGCCTTGATCATCAATAACGGTTCATGCAGAACTAAGAACACAACAAAATTTGTACAAATATCAAACTTTTTTCTAAATAATAAATGTAAATAAATATATTTTCTTAAATATTTTCTTATATAATTGTGTGTTTAATTTACTTGTTAAATTAATTGAGTAGCTATAATAGTATAGCTATAATAGTATAAGCTAGCACAGTTAAATACTTTTTAATTGCATTTCATGTTGAATGTTTTTTAGTTGCATGTTTGTTAGTCATGCTTAAAAGTTATATAAATTATTTTTTAGGAAGAAGAATTAAGAAAAACTATTCTTTGTGTATTTGCAAACAAACAGGTTAACAATTTAGTAAAAATAAATAATTTATAATATTAAATCATGATTGTTATTTATGTTTAAAATTTACTTAAGTTGATTTAAAAAAATTTTAAACTTAAAAAAATGTGCAATACTACTAATTTTTTTTCTTTTTACAATTTTTATTTTTAAGCAAATTTTAGTTTATGAATAATGTATAAAATACATTCTAGTTGCTCATATGTCAGATATAAGACCAGAAATCATTTTGATATCAATTAAAGGCCACAGTTTCTAATACCATTTCTAGAATAGAGAAAGACGGGTAAGACTATTTTAGTGAAAAATTTTATAAGGATTTTAAATCTGCAAATTGATAAAAAACAGGTAACAGGTACATTAATTTCACCAGGCACCAGGTACACAGATTTCACCAGGCACCAGGTAAACAGATTTCACCAAGGACCAGGTACACAGATTTCACTAGGTACCAAGTACACAGATTTCACCAGGTGCCAAATCATGGAGTGTGTGCCTTTTTTTAAAAAAAAATTAATAAATAAATAAAAATTAAAAAAAAATTGACTCAAAATTGGAAAGGATTATTTTATTAATTAAACTAGTGAAAGAATTTGTAGGACCCTGGTTTCAGTTTGAACATAATTCTCATCTGAATTTGTAGAAGCTTTACAATAAACATATTTCAAACAGGCTATCAGTAAGGCTATGAGTAAAGCTATAGAGACTTGATTGATTCTGATTATGTTAAAAAGTTAAGAATAGTGAAACAAGTTAAGAAGAATGATACAAGTGAAAAAGAGTGAAACATGTTAAGAAGAGTAAGTCAAGCAAAAAAGTGTGAAACAAATTAAGAAGAGTCAAACAAGTTAAGAAGAGTCAAACAAGTTAAGAAGAGTCAAACAAGTTATAAAGAGTGAAATAGAATGACAACTGCTATTGTACTATTGCTACCTATAATTCCTATACCGGCCTGTATTTGCTTTACTAACAAATAAATGCAAATGACTTATGTTTCAAATATATCAGTAAGAAATTTAATTTTTTACAAAATTCTTAACCTTTTCCATGGAACAGTTTATGAAATTACATTTGCTAAAAGAATGAAACAAATAAACAAAAAGAAACATTTTAACAACATTTAAATATGTTAAAATCAAAAAATCATATTTGATTATAATTATTCTTCAAATTTTTCAAATTTTATTTATGCTTTCAATCATATGATACTAGGAACTAATATCATGTGGTTGATTTATTAAAGTCAAACAGGTTATTCTAAACAAAAAAATATTTATTGAAGTCAATTAAGTTATTTAAAACAAAAAAATATTTATTTAAAACAAAAAGATTTATTGAAGTGAAACAAGTATTCCAAACAAGCAAAACATTTATTGAGGTCAAACAATTTATTCCAAACAAACAAAAAAAAAAACAACAACAACTAAGTAGTAATAAATAACGTTTATTAAAAACAATCAAAGTATAAATTTACAAATAAACAAATCCAAATATAAATTACTTGCTCAGTAATTTCAATAAAAATTACTTATCAAGGCAAAGTTGTTAATTCAATCAAAAGACTATAATTTTTAATAAGTCTATAAGTTTTTAAATCATATTATTAAATCATGTTTAAATTTTAAACATATTTTAAAACCATTTCATATTTTTTTAAAGCAAAAATATGACACCAATAAACATTTTATATTTTTGCCTTATCACAACATTTTTTTTGTGCTTTATCCATGTGAATTTAACATTCTGTGTGGGTTATAAAATCTACTCCAATAAATTAAATATTCTATTTTGGGCTTTAAAATATATTTATATAAATGAAATAAAGCTATTTAAATTGTTATTAGCAACAGTTACTAAGCCAAAATATAAATCTTAGCAATAAATACTACAATCATATAATGATACAACAAAATAAAAAGTTATAAATAAATTTTTAATATTTTTTGTTGATTTATTGTGAAATACTTGGTTCTTAGCTTATATCTTGGTTCTTAATTTATATTTAGATGTTTTTGATTTTGTTTTTACTTTTTCAAGTTTTCTGTTGAATGGTTGAACAGCCTCATTCCAATTCAATTAAAGTTCATATTTTAGTTGCCTCAATAGTTTTTGTTTATCTTGATAGTTTTTGTTTATCTCAATAGTTTTTATTTATCTCAATAGTTTTTGTTTATCTCAATATTTTTTGTTTATCTCCATTGTTTTTGTTTATTTCAATAGTTTTTATTTATCTCAATAGTTTTTGTTTATCTCAATAGTTTTTGTTTATCTCAATAGTTTCTATTTATCTTAATAGTTTTTGGTTATCTCAATAGTTTTTGGTTATCTCAATAGTTTTTGGTTATCTCAATAGTTTTTGTTTGTCTCAATAGTTTTTGGTTATCTCAATAGTTTTTGGCTATCTCATTAGTTTTTGGTTATCTTAATTTTTTGGTTATCTCAATTTTTTCAACCTACAGTCAGCTGAATGGGACACTCTTGTACTAAATTGAAATCTTTTGGATCACCAGCTGTGATAATAGAAGTAGTTATAGACTGGATCTATCTGCATACACCTATAAAGATTATATTGAAAAAAAGAAATTATTTTTGTTCAGAATGTTGTTAAGTAGTAGCCCTTTTCCAGGGTTGCAAAAAAACCGTTTTTTTTGAAAAAAAACAAAAACCATAGGTTTTTTAAAAAAAAACAAAAAAACCATGGTTTTTTTGGTTTAAATTAGGTTTTTACTAAAAAATGCAGTATTTAGTTATCCTTTTAAATTAAAAAAAGCATAATGTATTTTATTTGAGTAAACTCAATACTATAAAAGTTGTCCTTGATGAACAGCACTCTTCTTCTTATTCTGTAACCTCAGGGGTTCCTCAATGTTCAATCCTTGGCCCTATACTCTTTTTAATTTACATTAACGATCTTCCAGATATTCTCACATCTAAGGTGGCATTGTTTGCTGATGATACTACTATTTATTCTTGTCACGATAAGAAGCCAACTCCCTCTGATTGCTTGCAGCGGGCATCTGAGCTTGAAAAGGATCTCACTTCTGCTACAGCATGGGGCTCAGAGTGGCTGGTGAACTGTAATTCAGATAAAACTCATTTTTTTTCAGCCAATCGTTATCGCAATAATTTAGACCTTCCTATATTTATGACTGGTAATGTACTCGATGAGTCTCCTACCCTTCATTTTCTAAGATTAACTCTTACTTCTGATCTTTCTTGGAAACCTTATATCAAATCCGTTGCAAAATTAGCATCTACTAAAGTTGCTTCTCTTTATCGAGCTTGCCAATTTCTTACTCTGGATTCTGTTCTCTATCTCTATAAATCTCAAATCCGGCCTTGTATGGAAAACTGTTGGCATATCTGGGGTGGATCTTCTAATGATGCCCTTTCTCTTTTAGACAAGGTGCAAAAATGTATTGTAAACATAGTTGGACCTGCTCTTGCAGCCAACCTTCAACCTCTGTCACATCGTTGTAATGTTGCTTCTCTTTCTCTTTTCTACAAATACTATAATGGGCACTGCTCTAAAGACCTAGTGTCTCTTGTGTCATCTACAAAAATTCGTTCTTGTGTTACTCGTCATTCAATTAAGTCATTCAATTAAGTCCTTTTTCTGTTACTGTTCCTAAGTGCTCCAAAAACTCTTATTCGTCTAGTTTTTTTCCTGGAACATCAGTTCTTTGGAATTTGCTTCCTTCATCTTGCTTTCCTGATTCATATAATTTGCAATCTTTTAAGTCGTCTGTCAATCATTATCTTGCTCTACAATCTTCATCTTTTCTCTTCCAGTAACTTCCAACACTATTTAGTGGTTGCTTGCAGCCTTGTTGGAAGCAAAGATGTTTAAAAAAAAAAAAAACTATTATTTATCAATATTATTGTTATATTTCATCAAAATTATTTAATATATCATTGTTTAATTGTTCTATATATAAATACAAGCTTTGCTGCTTTTTCTACCCCCAATTGGTTTCTTAGCTTAGACTGAACAAGACCAAAAGTTGAAAAAATTCTTTCAATTCCAGCACTAGAAACTGGTGCATTTAATAAACCTTCAATATCCATTATGTTATAGCAGATTTGGCTTTTAATTTGAAGAATATTGGTAACAAATTCTTGAACTCTTTATCTGCAAAATTCATGGCAGCTTCATTTTCTAATCAGATTTAATCAGAAAGATTATATCCAAAATATCTAGGATCTAATGTGTTTACCAGGAAATGAGCATCACTGACAGTCTGAAGGTATCTAGATTTTTTTTTTTTTTTTTTTTGATAAAAATGATAAACTGTTCATCAAATCTTTAAAAATTTCAAGTGTCACTTATTTTTGTTAGATCTCTTTGCAACTTATCTAGAGCTACTGCAATTGGTTTCAATATTTTCAATAAATCTTCTGTGTTTTTGCTTTATCTGTATATCACTTACTTTTTATTATTATACCAATCATGGGATCCAAGTCTTTATTTTTTTCAAGCATTGTAAAAATAATGTTCCAGTTGTTGACATTTTTCAAGTGAATCACATACAGAATTCCAGCTAGTTTCAGTAGGAAGTAGCAATTTTGTTCCTCCGCCTAATTTATAAATTGCTTCAGCTTGATGATTATTTCTTATATATTTTATTATTTGTTTAACATGCTTGCTCACATTTTCAATGTTCAGATTATTTGCTAAAAGATTCAGCATATGAGCAGCACACCCATAAGTTATGATAATATCTCTTTCAGATGACAATACTTGTCTCATTGATTTCATATTAGCTGCATTGTCAGTCACAAAGCTTTCTACTGTGCATCCAAATTTTTCTTACAAAATCAATTGCTTCTCTTGCTAATTGTGTAAGATATTCACCAGTACGTGAATGATTAGAAGTGTTGATTGTTTCTACTAAAATGTTAATTTTATCTGTAATTACAGAGATACAAACTATAGGTTCATTATATACATTACTCCAGCCTCTTAAGACATGGCTGCATTTTTCCCATTCATTACATTACATTTTTCAATTTCTTCTGTCTAAACAATATCTAATATTTCTCCTCCAATTTGAGTTCTATTAGGTAGAGTGTATCCTGGATGAAGCATATTGATAAATTAAAAAAAAAAAAAAAAATCATGGATTTAAAAAAGTATATCTATATTGAAGATTAGTTATATTTTTGAACATAACCCTGTCTTAGTTTCCTGTTGTAAATTCAAATTTTTAAAAAAAAAACATGAGTTTGGTTTAAACCAATATTTTATTAATTGGTTTAAACCATGGTTAAAACCATGCTTTAAACCAATAGTTAAAACCATGCAACCCTGCCCCTTTCTAAAAGAAATATTTGTTGTTGATGTTCTTGTGTTCTAAAAAAAGTATTGTTGTTGATATTCTTATTTTCTAAAAGAAATATTTTTGGGGCAGTATAAATACAAAACTTACAACAAGATACAATAAGAGTACAGAGATCAATCACATTAGATAAGAAGGTAAGAAGTAAAATCTTTTTGAATTTGAAGATAAATTTTGCAGATTGTGCTATATTTTGAATAATGAAGAAGATAAGAAAATCTTGAAAGATCAAAAACAAAAAAAGAACACTTCTGCTCATGTTATAAACGAGTCATTTTTCATGGATAGGTTTTACAATGTAAAAAAAATGTAAATTCAAAATTTAATTTTATTGAAAAAATATTTTTTATTTTATCGACTTATCTATGTTAGTAAAAAAAGGTTTCCTCAGGATATGAGATTATTTTAATTCTGTTGTAAGTGTTTGGGGGTCGTCCATAAAGTACATAAAGTCCATAAGTACATAAAGTACGCTTTTTCTTTTAAAGCATAGTACCTATGTTTTTAATCTATTTATCTAACTTTTTATGATATATTTTTTAATTTAGTGTCTCCTTTCTTTTATAATTGACCCACTGCCCTCCCATCTCATATATGCCACTTGCAGACCCCTCTTCCCATCTGAGCGTACGTACTTTATGGACAATCCCTTGCATTGATGGAAGACAGTGATCTTTAAAGATTGAACTTACTTGACCCATCACCATTAGATTTTCTGTTTTCAGCAAGTTAGTATTTTAGTTCTGATCTGCTAAACAGGCCAGGTGCACCACCAACACCCTGTATTGTACATTCATACACTGATTTATAGAATTTCTACAATTCTTTTCCAAGAAAAATTAAATTTTGGTAAGAAGTTCTTTAAGAAACTTTTTGTAAAAAAAAAAAAAAAGGAAAAACTGTCCAAATCAAAAAAAGTGGAAAAATGTTTGATTTGAAAAACGGTACCGTTTTTCAAATAGAGTTGCTAGCGAAAATATATTCTAAAACAAATTCACGATGGTTCTGCATAAAAAAAAGTAATTCAAGAAAAGTTTTTATATTCTGTGTTTAATTATCTAAATTTTAACACAGGTTTATAGATAATATTGACAATGTAGTTTTTAAAAATTCGTGTTATTAATATCATTTTGTTAATTTGTTTTGTTAGGATATGGAAGGAGCAATGACTGCTGCAGAAGTTTCAAATGCTTTAGGTTTATCTTCGCTTAAAACAAGAACATGGTCCATTTTTAAAACATCTGCAACAAAAGGAGAGGGGTTAACAGAAGCCATGGATTGGTACGTTTTTTAATTTTATGTTCTAGAACTATAATTCTAATATAAATTAGTTTTTAAATAATTTGTTTTTATATTTAATTAATGGATTAATAATACCAAATACACTCGATATGTATTTAACTGTATGCTTTTTTAAAAATATTCATGTGTAGTTTTGAAGTCAAAACAGTTTTATAATGTTTTTAAATATCACCTGCTACTAGGGTCAAAATTTCAAATTTTTTGTTGACTAATTTATTTATCTGATCTCATTTAAGATTTTTTTTTTACAATGATTTTGATATCTAAAGTGAAGAAATTTAATTAGTTGAGCAGTCAGTAAATTTCAACAACATTTCACACGTTGTAAAAGGTTTAATATGTCATAGAATATTTATAGATTGGAAGATAAATAAATAAAAAAAAGAAAAAAGAAAAAACGTTACGTTGTTATCACGTTTAATTAACACTTAAAATTCATATACAAGTATATGAATAAATGTTGGTATTGAATAATTTACCCTATTTGCTTTACTTTGTTTCACAATACTCAACATATATATAAGGAGAGTTATAGACCAAATAATTAAGATATATTACAATATTTTGATGTATTACAATATATTTTATTTAAAATAATCAAAAGAAAATTTAATAACCGATTTTTATATTCTGAAATATTGCAAATCAAATGCATATCGCTTTACGATATCTTTTACTTATCGCTTCATGCTTTTTTTACATATCGTATGCATATTTGAAAATGCCAAAATCTTGCATATTAAATTTAAAAATTTAAAACTTTTGAAGCTTCGTATAAAACTGTCTTGGTTTGGTGTTGTTGTTAATTTCGCTGTTACTGTACTTTTTGTAGAGTTACTTTTGTTAATGTTTTTATTTGCTTTTTATCATCAAAGGTAAGCTTACGTTGTTACGTATATGCTGCTATTTTTACTCTCGACATCATTTAATCTTTCGACTATTTTAAACATATATTGAGACATTCCCAATCGAATTTAAATTTAAATTTTTTCTAGTTCTATTTATCTTTTTCAAAGAATGTGTGACATATGAGCTGATAATTTTACAAATTGTAAATAAATGAGACCCAAGAGTTAACGTGTGACGTATTCATCTATGACTAAAAAAAGAATTTCTATATTTTCATAACTATAATAAAATTCATTGGTTAGTTCAAACTTAAATAATAATAGTCGCATTTAACAAGTTAGCAATTAGCGCATTTCATTCAACCATATAATAATTCATTGCTCACCATTTTCGTTTTTTAACTCTTCTTCTAGAAATTGTAAATTTAATTTTGAAAGAAAAGAAAGTTACATAAGAAATTGTGTAAAGTTAAATTAATTTTAATTTAGGAGATTTTAATGTACATTTTTCAAAAAATGAATAAAAAATTTTTAATTGGTCTAATTAAAAATTATTTAAAATAATTTTTTATTAAAATTATTTTTTTTTCTACAGCATAATCGAAAAATATTCCCAAAAAGCTTATTCAATAATTAATTAAGAACAAAAGTGTAAACATTGGTTCAACACTTTTATATCTTTTATTTCATTCGAATTATACTTTATTAAAATTGAAATAGTTAAAAATCTTTCTTAACTAAAATTGGAAAAAAAAAAAAAAAAGCAACTGAGGAGCCCTGTTGCAAAATGCGTCCGAGTAAATTGATTTTGAGAAAACGACGAAAAAAACTGAACCACTTTAGTTGTGCATAAAAAAACCTTTTTTCTCTATTTTTAGGAAGAAAAAAAATTTCAATTGGTCCCATATTTAAATATTTAAGTTTTTAATATTTAAATAGATTTTATTAAATAGAATGTAGAAATCGAATTAACTCAAAATTTTTATTTTTGTGACTTAGCGCGTTTTGCAGATAAGCTCCTCAACTAAAGCTAATTTTGTGTTCCGTTTAAATATTAGGTCATGTGCTTAGTATTAAATTTATGTATGCGTGTCCTTAAAGATACTTGAGAACTGTTTTCACTCTTTTTAGGCTTGTTGATGCATTAAAAGCTCGTCAATAAACGTTTTCTTCACATCAAATTACAGGTGGAAGAGAAAAGAAGAGATGACCGAGAAGTGTCCAAAATAACTTTGACACGAGATTATCCGTTCTTATTTAGCAAGCGAGGTTTATTTGCGATTATAAGCGACAATATATTTTTTATTTAAATTAATACTAGACCACATATTTATGTTTATTTTTTTTTTTTATTTTGGAATGGATTACAAAAGAAGTTCACATATTCAATAAACTTGAGAATCAAATGAACTAAACAATGTATCTAGTCAGTGTAACTAAGCAACTCTATTAACTAGTTAGCTTTCTTATTTTTATGAACTTTTGTAAAATACTTTTCAAATTTGTATTTTATAAACCAAAATATTAAATAAAGCTTAAACTTTTAACTTATTTTTAAATTAATCAAAATCCCTGCTGTATTATATCTATAGATATGAATGGTTGTTTAAGCAAAACTGATTAAGTACTGCCCTTATAAATGAATGCTTATTCAAGTTGGCTGAGAAATAAATAAATGAAGGGATATTTGTGTGTGATACAGGAAAATGAATGAATGGTCAGTTAAGTAACACTGAGTAGTGTATGTCCCAATTATATTTTCTAGAAATATTTTTTCGCCTTTTGGTATATTATATTGATATCAATGTTGAAATTGTTGGTTTCATCTTTTTTTTTTTAAATTAAAAAACAAAGTTTTTTAAGAGTTTTTTAATCGTTTGTTAATAATATCAAGTTGCATTCGACATCAAATTGTCATCAGCTGATATTAATAATGTAAAAGAAAGAACATCTTGAAAGTACATGGCATGTGCTTACGAGGACTTAGATGAAGGAACAGTTAAACACAGACTAGAACAACTTCGAAAAAGAGGCAGGTTTTCGCTTAAAAAAGATTCGATTTACAAAAAAATACATAATAAAATTGAAGCTTCAAATTATGATCTAGATAAACAATTTTTTCAAGGTCCCACAGGAAAAAATATTGTTAATAGTTCGTATTATTTGTACCCTAACCGATCTCGAAACGAACCCGATCTCAATATAAATGAACAAAACAGTTACTTTTTCAAAAAAAAAATCAGTTATGAAAAGCCCATTTATCCTGCTAAAGGTTATTCTAAATATAATTCTTCTAAAGAATTCTTAGAAAATGTAGACGGGTACGTAATTAAGCGTAATTTAATCAGCAGAAGCTTATCTGCTGATGATCTTGACAAAGCTTTAAATCGTCAAAGCAATTTCATATCCTCGTACAACGACTCTTTGGCAGAGCTTCCAATGAAATCATTTATTGTAAAACATCAAATCCCTTGGCACTCCGTAACGCGGTGCTATTATTGTGGTAATAATGCATTTTCAAGCGATCAAATTACGGTAGGTAATAACACGTGGCATAAATGGTGTTTGAAGTGCGACCAATGTTTAGTAACGTTGTCCTCAGAAAAAGATGTGACATTTTATAAAGGTAAAATTTTTAGTTCTTTGACTTGGCGTTTATAGTTGTTTTTATATTGATAAGAAACTTGTGTAAAAATGTTACTATTTATAAAAGTTTTTGAAAATTACAACTTTAGCTAGGATTTGCAACGCTACCTAGTTTCTTTAACGCTAATGCCAGATAAGATGTGAGCTAAAAAACTTTTTTAAATTTCATCTAAGAAAAATTAAAATAAGTTACAGTAAAATATAAAAGTATACAACCCAATATAAAAGAAAAAATCTATATAAACGAAGTTGTCATTATCATTTTTTAATTTCATATTTTATTTTTTTTATGTTTATATATTTCATTCGTATTCATATTTTTTTAATTTGTACCATATATTTTATTTACATTTCGCTAAAAGTATCGGTAGAGGATCTGAAAAAGTTGCAACAAGATTCTAGCATTAAAAGAATAAATAAATTTTTTCAATTTTATTTAATTTTATATGATATAATTCTTTGAAAATGTCTGAATATAAGCAAAAAGGTTTTCATTTTAATGTTACTAATGTTACTCATGAAAAACTGAAGAATTTTGGTCGGTTTCTTTAAATTAAGCAAGTCTGTAGATTTGAACTTTTAATTTATTATTATCATACTACTCTACATAAGAGTGCTTACTGATATGAAACACATTTTTTCTGTATAATATCTTTATCTTTTAGATGTAATTTACTGTGTGCATTGTTACAGTGATATAATTACCTCATTAAACAAAATTGGTCGCTTTAATAGCTTGCAAACGAACATAGAGAGTAAAAATGAATTTGTAAAATATCCGCTCAGAAGTAGCCACCATAAACCCCTAAATAATGCATTAACTTCTTTGGTATCTAATAAAATAACTTACAATAAACCAGAACATGTATTTAAACATAACTCAGATCTGCCTTACTTACTCCAAACTACAACTGTGCCCAGGCAACAATATCCAAGTAAAAGCATACTAAAAAATAATCGCTTATTGAGCCCAAAAAATATTGAAATTACATTTTCTAATGTAATGTTTTCTGATGGTTTTACAAGTAAACATATTGGTGATGACGTTGAGAATTATATTGACGACGTTGAGAATGAGTTTAATGATTATAATAGAAAACTAAAAAAAAATGCGCCTAATAACACAGTACGACAAAATGAAAACAACGTTTTTATTAACATGCGTAACAGATTAAAAAATAAATCTTACTCCACTGAAAATCTAGAAAGTTCATATTCCGCTTCTTATAATTATGTACTTGAGTCTGCGTGCAAAGCTTGGATTGAAAAAAATGCTCCTCTAAACCCTCCTTTAACAATCCGCCATTCATCTTATGTTGATAAAAATAGTCTTGTGCCGAGTTATTACGAGTACGGAACATTAAAATTGAAAAAAAAGTTAGCACATAAAAATGAAAACAATTATTCCGATAATAACAAGTCAACAAAAGTTACAAACATGAATAACAATAATGAAAATGAAAACATGAAAAGCCATAATGAAATATGTAAGGAATCAAAAACAAGCGTTATCAATGATACCACAAAAAAAGAAGATTCAAAAACAATCACAATCAAAGAAATCGCAAACAGTATCAACAATAATGGTACCAACGATAACGTTATCGATATGAACAATATTGACGTAAAAACTCAGCGTAGTGCAATAAATATTGAACGAGAAAAATCGGATGAAGTTTTAGAAAAAGAGAATAAAATAACAGATGATTTGATAAATGATTCACAGACTTTACTCATTCATAAGGAGACTGAAAAAGAAAATAGTCCATATACAAACACCGATACAGACGCCTCTAACTTCTACACAGACGTCTCAAACAAGATAACACATACACCTCAGTATCCGTTAGAATATATTAATAATAACCGCATTAAAGTTTTAGATCAAAACACAGAAAATCATAACGAAAAAAATTCACAAGATAATATTTCAGAATTTATTCATCAAGAGGGTTTGAAAGATGTTATCTTTGTAGAAAACAATCATACCGAGATTAATACCACAGCAAATTCTTTAGAATTAGAAAACAATCATACCGAGAATAATACAACAGCAAACTCTTTAGTATTAGAAAACAATGTTTCATTTGAAAAGCAAAAAGTTTACGAGAATAAAAATGAAATTTCTAACATATATGCCGAATCTTTAAACAAAGATTTAAATTTAATGGAATCTTTAAATAAAAACAGTATCAAGACATTTTTTTCAGAAAAAAATGAAGTTAAAATGATAAAAAACAAGAAGGGAGAAAGGTTCATAATACAGTTTGAATCAGATCCCCCTGTCAAGAAGATTCCTTCAAATATTTTAGACAACACAAAAAACCAACAAATCAGAATTATTAAAAACCAACCAATCAGCATCATAAAAAGTCAAGAAATCAATAACCCAGAGGTAATCTATCCAATTACTGAGACTAACTTATATCAATCAAAAAACGAATTTTATTCAACGAAACTAAAAAGTCAAAGCCAAATTAATAAAACTTATTCAGAAAATGTGGAAATCGATAAAGAAGCTAAAAAATTTTGTAATGATAAAAACAAAAATCATAGTTTACAAAACAATCAACATAAAAATGATTGCATCCAAGAACAAAAGTTACCTCGCAGGACTAAATTTTTAATTTCTATAAAAAAAAAGTTTTCTAAAAAGTGAATGTAGTTTTTTGTCAAAAATAGTTTTTGTCATTCATTGTTGACTAGGTAAAAAAAAAGATATATTTTTCAAATATCATTGTTGTTTTTCTATCGAAATGCGACTAAGTGAAAAAAAAAATTATATATTGTTTTTTTTATTTTAGCACCCTTAAATTCTGAACTTCATTCTCATAAAATCTAGCAAAATTAATTTATAATCCTCGTAATTAATATCTAATAATACACAGGTGTGTTTTGCATTTTACATTGGCTATTACATTAATTTGAACAGCTTTTTGTAAAATATATAATTCCAAAACATTTATAAAATTTTTAAAAAGCTGACCAAAAAGTAATAAACATAGTAATTTTAGTATTAAAGGCTGACTTGAATTTACAATACAGATTTTTTGAAATCATAACACCGAACAAAATATTTGCATTGCTCAGAGTAAAATCCCAACAAGTGTTTTACAACAAGTGTTTTACAACAAGCGTTTTACAACAAGTGTTTTAGACCGAGCTTCGCCGGTGCTTAGATCGTACATCGTGAAAATCCAGTGTTGAAAACGTCAATTTTTTTTTGCACTACTCTTTGCGTTGTTTTTTTGTGGTGAATTTCACTGTTTTTATTTCCAATCTGAAATAATAACTATCTAATACGTTTATAAATAAAAATCAAAACAAATTAAAAAAAAACGTTATGTAAATAAATAATCAAACGTTTAGGGATAAGTAACAAATGAAATATATACGAGAATGTTGTTAAAAAAAATAAATACTCAAGTAACATAATTACATTTATATATTTGTGTGTATGTATGTATGTATGTATGTATGTATGTATGTATGTATGTATGTATGTATGTATGTATGTATGTATGTATGTATGTATGTATGTATGTATGTATGTATGTATGTATGTATGTATGTATGTATGTATGTATGTATGTATGTATGTATGTATGCATGTATGTATGTACAACATATAGAGACAATTTTACGGGGGTTGTATTGTGGGTCAGGGTGTTCCACATCCCCCAAAAGAAGATGATTTTCAAGTTATAGTAGGTTTTTTAACGATTCATCTCCCCCTTTCTCTCATTTTATTTGAAGAATCGCCTCTGACAAATTTTAAGAGATTTTGGAAGAAGAGTTGCTCGCTGATTTAATTTTTAAAATTATTATGATTATGCGAAAAAACACCTTGAATAACGCTATATGCAAATATTTACGTTTTAAGTATGTTCATATTTAAATGTTTTTTAATATAATTTGTATTGCTGAATGATTTAAGTTTATAATAAAGTTATAACAATTAAGCTCAATTTATAACAACTTGTTAACTATTTGAAGATTTAAATAGTAAAACTTTTATTCTTATATTTACATAAGAATATCTAAATAAAAATTATTTTCACAATTTAAAACATTTTGAACATGGATATATATTTTCAGGAAAACATTTTCAATTAAAAAATATCATCATAAAAATGGGAATAATGCCCTTTTGCAATATATGGTTTACGCATCTTCCTGCTAAGTAGTTTAGTTAAAATGCAGCTTTGTCGATTCTCGAATCCACACACATATTGTCGATTCTCGAATCCACACAAATATTGTCGATTCTCGAATCCACACACATGGAAAGTCGGGGATTTTAGGTTTAACATTATTGTCAATCATATGTTGGATTTGCTCAATTGAAAAATGTTGTGTTGTAGTGGGCTCCGTAACTTTAGCAATGCTGATGTCTACCAACTCATACCAATGATTAGCATTAAAACCGGAATTTTCTTCAAATTTACTTCCAAACTTTTAATGTTTAATCTAAAAATATAAATCAAAGCCAGTTACCACAATTACCTAATTTTATCAGAAACTTTACCAAAGCTTATTCCTTTGCAATATTCAAATAGATCGCAAATAAGGTCTTAGATCTCAAATAAGGTCTATTAGTATTTCTTCTGGAATATATCCGTCTACAATGGGGTTTTTAATACGTTCAAACAAAACTTAATTTCTATCCTGAATATTTTCAGCATATCTTTTTCCAAGTAGACCTCTAAAGCTTTAGTCCAGTTGTGTCACCATCAAGTTTTACGAAAAAAGGTTGTAACGGAAGTTCATTTTGATGTAAGGCACCAATTAGAACTAGTTTCATTTTCAAAAACTCTTCTAGTTTTGCCACTAAGTCACTTATTGGTCCAGTATTGAAGCAGTATTATCAAGAAGAAAACCTTGCTTACTTTCCAAACTATTTTGTTCTTGTAAAACACTGAAAGTTAGCAAGAACTAAGCCTGTTGTACAAGTGACAGGAATCATCCTATGAGTCAAATAATTTCCACTCAATTTTCCATCTTCATAAGTAAATGTTCAGGTTCAATGCATTTCTTTAGTAAATGGCTCCTTAAGGTGAGTTTATTACTTTATTTGTTTTAGTTATCTGATCTAGCTTGCTATCAACTTAAGAAAAATTAACCAATTTTTTTCCTCTGATCTTAAAGATAAGCTCTATCATTAAGAAGTACATTATTACTTTGAGAGCAATGGCATACAATATGTTCTTGAATGAAATTTTCTTTATTACATGAAACTTTTCTGTCACTACAGGGAAACACATTTAATGAACAGGAACACGCAGAAATACCAAAATGTTTGTCCAAGTTCACCTCAAGATTTTTTTTAGCGCTTGCTTTTCCGTGCTTGCAATTAATATCCCTAACAAATACGAGAAGATCTTTAACTTTCTTCTTTATAGGTTTGTCAGTTATAAGAGGTAAACTTGGGTTTACTGTAGCCCAAATTGATTTTATATTATTGCTAATTTGCTGAGTCACTAATACGATATCTGCATTTGGATTTATATGAATAAGATAGTAATAACCTGTCTAAAAGTGCTTCGATCTGTCATTCATAATTCACATGGGCCATCACAATAGTTTTTTTCACTTTTCACCCGTGTAATTGCAGCCTTTACTTTCGGCATTTTTGTAGACTAATTATACTAATTATAATTATACTAATTATAATTATACATGTAAACTGTATTAAAGTATAACACTTAGAGTCATGGGCAACAGCGTGACTTTTTAGTGGGGAACAAAGCACCAAAAAAACTTAAAGTATCAAAACTTACTATTAAAAACCAGCTTTGTTAAAAAATAAAGAAATAAAACCCTTTCAATAAAATTTGGGGTCATGGAAACCTCAGGAATTAAGTAAAACCATTAGTTCCTCCGACTAAATTAAGTAAAACCATTAGTTTCTTCGAAAAGGTTTACATTTTAATCTACCTCAGAAGTTGCAAAACAAAACTGATGTAATATAAACAGGTGTAATCATTAATCTAAATATAACAATCATAAGTATAACCATAAACCTTTGAAATTAAACGATTTCTTTAAATGGCAATTTTATTTTTGAATTTACTTTTAAATACTTTATATTTAATTTTAAAACCAACTTTTAAATAAAAAACAAGATTCAATGCTTTTAAGTAAAAACAAGGGCTTTTAAATTCAAAAAAGATTTAAATTTAAATGCGTGTAAACGATTTAGCGAAAATTTATTGTCTTCATAAAAAATTGCGCTTTTTTAGAAATCGTTTATTGGTTACGTCATAAGTTCGAAACGAGGTTTATTTTAAAACGAGATTATATATATATATATATAAATTACGATTATATATATAAAAATTATATATATAAAGACGAGATTATATATATATATAAAATAAAACGAGATTATATATATATTATTACTATGGGAAATTAACGAAGCCTTAAAAGGTTACTAATCATTTTGATTTAAAACTTATTCTTAAAACGATTAATAAATATCTATAAATAACAACCGATCATCTTATGCTATTTCTATCATAATCTCATTACCTTATTCAAACATTGAAATATCATAAATAAGTTATTAATTAATTCATATTAAAACTTGAATAATATCCTTTTTCAATCATCTTGCTGTGCGCTCAAATTATGCGTTTTTAAAGAATTAACTATTAAAAATGTATGCATTTTATGTATTTTAATTATACATATATTTTTATATTAGTTTTCTTTACTTCAACTGATCACAAAATGTTTTTAAAGTGGGGTTGTTGAAGATTAAGTTTAATTTTCAACCAAGATGAGTAGAAATTTTAAATTTCAAAACGAGGTTATAGATAATTAAGTTGTTTAGATATGATGGATGATTCTGTGTTACCAAAAGTGAGTCGATTTTATCGCGCACCATCTAAAGAATTCTACAAGAATGATACAAAAGAAAAGGAGGACGAGGAGCAAGAAGTTATTTTTAAATATTTTGGAGCATACTCTAAGCCATACTCTCCATCATTCTCAAAACCATTATTTGATCCAATATTTGAAGAAAGCGTTTTTGATTTTGACAACGATTTTCGCTCATTATCCGTTGAAAAGGAGCTCCACACGCCGAGATCTAATGTTCTTCAACTAAGCGAAAGTTTTGAAAAAATGAAAATTAACGGAAGATATAAACCAGATTATAATTTGATGGATTTACAAAACCCTCAAACACCAACAGTAATTATATCGGACGTGTTACCTTTAAATTCTAACTCCAAAGTATATAACAAAAGTTATACAAATATAGTGGACAACATTTTTGAACCAAGTGAAATTAATTATTTGAACCCAGGTGGTGTCAAAAGGTACAAAACAGAGTACGAAAAAAATAACCTCAAGAATAACTACACAGAAAATTATTTTTTCCCAAATTATACGGAAACTAATTATCGTCAAGTACGTTTCCAACCAAAACGCGGTACGTTTCAGAACCAAAGAAGAAAATCGCTGCAAAGTGTTCAAAACTCATATCAACACGCATTAACATTTTCTCCACGATTAAATACACTGACACTAAACAACGATGACAATCGTCTTTCTTTTTCACTTGATTCTTACGATCTGAGAGATTTAAAAAGACGGATTCAAGTTAGTGACTTACGCAAAGCATACGAAGAAAAACTTCAAAATATGAAATGGCATGACTTTCAAAGCAATGAACGTAGAAATCAGCTATTTGACATCAATTATGAAGATAATTATTTTGGTGACTCTTTGAAAACCAATATTATTTATAAAACAAATTATAGAGTTGACAAGTCTACACAAACATACACAGAAAATAACTCTGATGAAAAACCATTGACATATAAATCAAAATGGGAGATAATTCGAAGAAAGATAAAAAACAATGAAATTGCACTACTGAATAAAGATGAAGCAGTAAATGAAAAGAAAAAAAAGTATGAAAATATTGAAGTAAACGAAGTAAATGAAAAGAGTTCGAATAGTTTGCTGGAAAATAGTTATCCGAATGATACATTGTCTTATAGAAAAAAAGTCTCTCCGAACCTTAATGATCAAATTTATGATTTCCCAGCATCTTTGAGTACTGAAATAAATCCAGGATCAAATAAAAATTCTCATTTGGAGATCTCAAATAAGAAAAAAAACAGCTTTTCTTCAAAATCCATCACTAGCAACGACGTAAATAATAATGGCGTTAATAATCCAAACAACTATTTAAACAATAATTCTGAGATAAATTATGTAGCTAGCAACAATTTAAAGGACAATATTCAAGAAAAAATAAATCTAGATGATTCATTTTCAAGCAGTTCAAAAAATCACGTAAATTATACAGATGTCCCTTATTCTGCAAGAAGCCATACAAACCACATAAGTGCCGAGCTTTCTTACGATAGAAGTATTATGAAACGTTTAAGCATTGTTTCAAATAACGATAGAAGGCAAACATTGCATAAACGTAAGGAAATAAACGAGAGAGGCCAACCAATATACACAAATACAGAGCCTTCTTATGAAAGAAGATACACAGATCATACTGTTAAAAATGTTACAGCTGGAAAGCATAATAATTTGAAATTAGATTTAAAAAAAAAACCTTCTCAAAGTTTCTTTAAAAAGTTTCAAAAAATAAATAAATTTATTAGCAAAGGTAACAAAAATGACAATGATAACCTTTTTAAGAACCAAAATCAAATCTCTAAGAAAACTGTACGATCATACAGCCATTCAAAAAGTGAACAAGAAGTTAACATGATCCAACACGAGCGCGCTAAAAATGCAAAGTTATACACTCGCGATATCACATTAAATGTAGTACATAGCCGACGAAAAAGAAACTCAAAATATAAAAGTTAAACTTATTTGATTCATAATATAAGCATTCAGAAGACATTTTTAATTTAACTAAAAAATTTTTTTATATGCGAAGCTAGTTTATAATAATAAAAATTTATGTAACAATTGAGAAAAGAGTGATTTTATAACTTTCCAGTTTTTTTCAGAGAGCTAGATTTGTTTTGAGCTCTTTCCTCGTTTAAAATAGGAATGTTTTAGTCACATAAAGTTTACTAAAGTTACATTTAGAAACCGCAAAGTTGAAGATAAAAAAACTTTAGGTTATATGAGAAAAGTTAGATTGATAGCTCAATTAAAACCATTACTATTTTCTCATTTTTGTTTCATTTTAATATTATAAAAATGCACACACCGCACTCAATTTTTGACCTAAACCTAATTATACGACCTTAAATTCCAATCTAGAATTAAAGGCTAAGAAAACTATTATCATAAAATGTTGAATAAATTGTGGTACAAATAAGCATATTATAACATTGAATTGTAGTATCAAGTTACATTAAAAATGTAGATATTTTACACGGTGAAATATCTACATTTTTAATGTAACTTGATTTCAAGCAAATAGAAAAAACTCGTAAAAGTCTATGAAGACATATCATCGAGTATCTCTTTTAATGGTTAAATAAAGTTTATTTTATTTTACATATAGTCAAACGTGGTTAAACAATACACAGTCAGTGATACACATAAATATTTAATGTTAAGTTTAATACATAAGAATTAAACTTAACATTATGAGTATGAGGTGTTTTAATTTATTTTTCAAATTAGCAGGATTTATTTAGTAGTTAAGTTCTATATTTTTGCATATTATTCTGTTATCTAGGTACAGAACCCGGTAAAAATAAAAATTCGTGAGAACTTTGTTGTTCTTTTAAGCCGTATAAAGTTGCCTGTTGCTCTTTTTATAAATATCTTTTAGAGTTTGCTTGAAAAAAGTTATCTAAAAAATGCGATGGGACTAGTCCAAATTTATATTTAAGAATAAATAGTACATTTTGGTAGACTTTATTTTGGTAAATATTTAGTGCATTCATAGTTTTTAGTAAGGGTTCAAAATGGGTAATTTATTTTTATTATAGACTAATCTTGATGCATGTTTTTGACTTATGTAAATAGTACTCACTTTGGATTTGGGTGTACTTGCCATTGTAATTAGGTTACGTAAGATAACCTTGGATGTAAGAAAAATAAAGCGATTTAAGATTATGTTGGGAAAACACAGTTTTAACTTTGTAGAGTATCCCAATATTCTTTGAAATTTTGGTGTTTATTGTATTTATATGGGCTCTCCATAATATATTTTTGTCAATAAGTATCCTAAGAAATTTAGTTGTTTCTGTTCTTTCAATGTTTACCTTATTTTTAGTGTGGGAAGGATAATTGGTATATTATTTTTTTGCTTTTTGGAATGAAACAATATGTGTTTTGCTTTTTGTGTCTTTAATAACTTATTTAATTTCAACCATATGTTTAATCTTTTAAGCTCTTTGTTCATACATGCATAAAGGACTTTGATTGAGTTTGGGGAATAAAATAAGTTTGTGTCATCGGTAAACATAATTACATTAGGTTTTTCTGAGGCTTTTGTTAGGTCGTTAATATATAGAAGAAACAGAAGAGATCCAGGAGTGGAATCTCGGGGAATATCGCACTCAACTCTTGGTAGTTTTAAGTGTTTATAACTATCTGAAATAACACATTTGCCTGTTGCTTAGACAACCCTACTATACTTTTAATCATAATTTGACTTGACTGTTGCACTGGAAATAAATTTGTTTTTGTAAAGATAACATTTTGTTACAATCAAGGCAACTGGTACTCTAAATTGGAACACTTTGATTTCTTAATCAGAACAGGTTGTTTTTTATAAAAAAAAACCGAGTAAAATTAACAAAAATTGATTAAAAAAATGACTTTTATATTTACGGTGAAAATATAAACAGTTCATTCAAAACTTATAATAGGATTAATATTACCCTGACAAACAAAAGTCTACAAACAAAAAATTGTATTAAAATGCTTGAACTGCGATGACGCTCTCTTAATTTATTGATTAAAAATCACTAAATAAAGTAATATTTTTTATGTTTTATGATTGTTATTATATACTTTTAATTTGCACTTGAACTATTTCTACAACCCTTTGATTTTATTACTGATTAAGTAAGGAAAAAGTTATAGTTCCAATCATGGAAACTTCAGACTATTTTGTTATATCACTGCAATATCATGTTTGCAGCAATTTATAAGATAAGTTTATATTGTTATTTTGTATTTTAAATCCCATCGAAATAAACACAAAAAACCGTATAACCTATAGCAGTATAGTTCACCCAGTGCAATCAATATAGCACACAAAAATATATGAACACAAAATAAGATCACCAAAAAAAAATGATGCAAAAAAATATTAAGTCAATAGTGCACATGCATTTTTTGTGAAATAACTTTTAAAGTGTGTCAAAACGTTGAAAATAAGGCGTTTTACTAAAAAAATGCAAAATATAATTCATTTTTTTTCAAAAATAAATGCAAGTGTTCCAATTAAGGCGCTGTTCCAATTATGGAAACTCTCCCCTACTGTTTTTTTAAAAGAATGACTTATATTGTCAACTAGATCTAGGATCGCGTCTTCAGTTGGATACTGTTTTTAAAAACCAAATTGCTTTTTTATTTAGGATTTTACTTTGGATAAATACTCATACAAACATACAAGTTATAGATTACTCTTTTGAGAAACTTAAAAAAGGTAGGGAGCACCGAGATAGGTTTATAGTTATTAATTAAGTATATTTCACCTGTTTTAAATATTGGTACTATCTTAGCTAAAGTTTTAACCTTAGTTTTAACTTTTCTGGTAAAACTCCTGTTTTAATCGAAGACTTAAAAATTCCATCATTCATTCCATATTCCGTTGTAAAGATATTTGCCTCTACTCTACTACAGATACCTGGAGTTTTATTCAAGTTTAAGGAATTTAGAGCAACATTAAGTTCTTGGTAGTTTAGTTCTTTGTATTTTAACTCGCTCTGGGTATCACTTAGATATGATTTAAATGAGTTATTAAGAGTTATTAAATTAATAAACTTTTTGAGTCAAGATTATGGCGAATGTTAACAAAAAATTCGTTGAATTTTTCAGCAATCGTATTTTTGTCAGTGTACTCTATATTGTCTATGACAATTTGAGCAGGTAAACTATTTGATGTAACTTTTTTGTTCCCAATTATTATTATTATTTTTTTTTCCTTATTTATTTAGCCGTACAATTATTTACAAGTTCCGTGTTTTATATTATATATAAAAATGGCAAGGACGAGAAGAAGACAGGTTTGCCTTATCACCAAATTCCTTGTTTTTTCAAGATATTTATATAAATACGTTGTAACTAATAATAAAAATTAAAATGAGAGAAAAAAGCAAAATGTTTCAATGAAGTTTATACAAAATGCAAAACATTTTAATAGAGTCTTTCAAAGTTATTTTTAATGTTTAAAAAATATTTTAATTAATTAAAAAGTTCTCAATAACATGAAGGTTAACTACGGTAATGCAATGGTATTTATATTCAAATTTCAAAGTTATTCATTGAAAGAAAATTTAATAATTCATTCAAGAAAACAAAAATCAACAGCAACAAAAAAACAAAAAAAAAAACAAAAAAAAGAAAACATGAAAAAATGAAATATAATGTTAATTTACAACCAAAAAAATATATATACACATACACATGCATGTATATATGTATACATAAACACACTTGCGCACGCATACATATACACATACACACACATTCGTACATAAATGCTGTAAATCCATAATTACTTTTTCATAATATAATTGACAGTAATGTATATATAATTAAAGACTTTATTCCTTTTTAGACAAATAAAGTATGCACTAATAGATAATTTTCAAATATAATATTTTTAAAAATAGATTTAAAAATAATTCACTGTTTGATTGTCATTTAAAAGCAGTAGTTTTAGCTTTTATTTAAACTGTTCAAAAGTTGTAAGTGTTTTAATATCATTACTAATTAACTTATTCAATACATTAGGTCCTCTAATAGTTATTGAGAACTTGGTGGACTCATATATAGTTTTGAGCTCAACAAAGTTGTTATCTAAATATTTAGTCATATATTTGTGTTGAATTTTATTAAATAATGGTTTGAAGATATTTGGTATCGTATTATTATTAGTTTTATACATAAAAATTAGCAGAGGAAGCAGCGGAGTTAATATGCTCAAGGTTGCATTTTTAGTAAATCCTGTCCCACCTCACCGCCGATAGTGAGTCTTTAAACTGTTGAATAATAAAACTATTAATTTTTTGTTTATAGACTTTGATTTTAGAGTTATTATTTTTTGTATTTTGAAAAAAGGAAAAGTATATCGGAAAGAGATCAGGTATATCTGTTTTGATTACACCTGTTTTTAATGAAGAACCTTAAAATTAATTAGTCAATATGTTGTCTATTATAGTGATTGAATTTAATGTTACCCGGGTTACGGGTTCGTTTGTTTATAATAGGAAAGATGTAGTGTTGGAACACATCGTCAAAAAAAAGTTTTGGTAACAGCATCTTCATTGTACTGTAGACAGTTTATATTTATGTCTCCAATAAAGAATAATACTTTGTGCTCTTTATTATTTTTCAGAAATATATGTTCACCTTTAGGTGGTCTGTAACAGGTGGGCACCTGTATATTTTTTAATTTTTTGTTTAGTATTTCAATTGTAAAGACGTGAGGTCTTTACTATTTCATCGGTATCAGAAACCGAAAGATTGTCTCTAATTCTAGTTGTCAGATCATTACGAATATATGCCATAATTCCACTACCTCGTTTTTGAAATTTTTGCTCATAAGATAATAGATTGTAGTTTGGAATTAATAGGTTTTAATTTATTCTGGATGATTCAAAACATCAAGTCTCTCTTAAGCTAGAGTTGCCAACATTCGGCAAAAGGAGGATATGTCCTCTTTTTTCATCCTTTATAAAATGTCCGGTTTTTTAATATTTTAAGTTTTTCAAATGCTTTTTTTTTAATACATATATTTCCTCATATATTTTCCTCATTTAAACTTTATTATTAAAACTTTTAAAAGTTTTTTTTACGTTCTATTCTTTAACTAAAACTTAAAGGAATTAAAAAACAGTATAGATTTTTTTTTTAAATAAAAGGTTTAGCTCAGCGCATTTTTGACTATAACAGTTTTTGCACCTATAGCAACAACAACACTTAAATTAAATTTTAACTTTTTTATTAAAAATGACTTCAATTTCTACAAAGAGAAAATGCAAGTTTTCAAGTACTATGAAAAAAAACTATTCATGCTTTGCTGAAGGGCGCAGCGAGAATGAGGAAAAGTGTACAGTTTTTCATAGTTACTTGTCTTTCGCTAACAAAGAAACTACTGATTAAGAGTGCCATGTTAACAGTGAAAAAAATAAAAACCTAATAAAAGTGTCAGCATCATGAAATAAGTTGACGTCCTTTTTTCAACCTAAAAACTCAAATATAATGCAAAAAGCTCAGACAGCTAAAGCAACTTTAGCATTTCATACAGTTTGTCATCATTAATCTTACAATTCAATGGCCTGCACAATTTGAAGATTCGGAAATTGTAAAAAATATCGCATGCTCAAAAACAAAAACTGAGACAATCATAAACTAAGTAATAGGTTCCACACTGTTGATCAACAGGTGAAATCATTAGATAGCATTTCATGTTTCGGTCTTTCCACAGATGCTAGCAATCACATTTTGCAGAAAAAAATTCGGATCGTTATTCAATACTTTCACTGGAGGACAGGAGATATTCAAACTAAAATTCTTACGTTAGATAACACATCAAATGAAATCTCTGAAACACTCCAAACATATGAATTGTTGTCTAAGTGTGTTGTTTTTGCTGGAGACAATGCTAATGTAAATTTTGGAAGCAAAAATGTGTTATCGTATTTGAAGAAAGTTTTGAAAAAAACGTTAATAAGTGTTGGATGCCCACGTTTTGCATATTGCAAATTTAATGAAGATTGCTGTTGAAACTGTTGTCTTGGAAATATTTAATTATTTTTCTATGTGCACATTTAGAACAGAAGATTTAAAAGATTTATGAGGACATTAATTATCATCAACTATTCTATCACTCTAAAACTAGGTGTTCAAATTTGTTTCCAGCTATTGAAAGATTGCTGAGGTTATTTGATGTTTTGAAAATATTCTTTTTTTATTGTAGATCAACCACTTTTTACGATAAAAATATTTTTTGAGAATGAATTTTCAAAAGCTTATCTTTGGTTTTTGCATTCCTTGATGTTTCTCTTTTAATTAAATATTGCAGCAATTGAAAGAGAAGAAACGTTAGTTTTTAAAGATAGAAGCCTTCTTCACTCTACTGTGGAAGTTTTAAAAGACTGTTTAAATGAAAAATTCCCCCGGCGCAAAATTCCTCGCTATGCCACTGCGGTTAAATAAAAGTTTACATACATGATATATGTTTAAAAAGTATTTTATCATTCGGATATATATAAAAACTTGAAGTCGAATAAAATTCATTTTGTAGATGGTACTTACATTCTTTATTTAATGAGTATAAGTTATAAAAAAGAGAATCGTTGGTTTTATATTCAAACATAAAACATAGTACATTATAAACGTTAATAAACTGATATATATATATGTATATATTTATATATATATATATATATATATATATATATATATATATATATATATATATATATATATACATATATATATATATATATTATCTTTATATATATATATATATATATATATATATATATATATATATATATATATATATATATATATATCTTTATATATATATAATCTTTGTATATACATATATATGTATATATATATATATATATATATATATATATATATATATAATCTTTATATATATATATATAAATATATATATATATATATATATAATATATATATATATATATATATATATATATATATATATATATATATATATAATCTTTATATATATATATATAATCTTTATATATATATATATATATACATATATATATATATATATATATATATATATATATATATATATATATATATATATATATATATATATATATATATATATATATATATATATATATATATATATATATATATATATATATATATATATATATATATATATATATATATATATATATATATATATATATATATATACATATGGTTTGAGTAAGAGAGGTTTATATATATATATATATATATATATATATATATATATATATATATATATATATATATATATATATATATATATATATATATATATATACATATATATATATATATATATATATATATATATATATATATATATATATATATATATATATATATATATATATATATATATATATATATATATATATATATATATATATATATATATATATATATACATATGGTTTGAGTAAGAGAGGTTTATATATATATATATATATATATATATATATATATATATATATATATATATATATTTATGTATATATATATATATATATATATATATATTTATGTATATATATATATTTATATATGTGAATATATATATATATATATATATATATATATATATATATATATATATATATATATATATATATATATATATATATATATATATAAAGATTATATATATATTTTTTTTTTCTTCGCGAAAAAATTTTTATTCAAACGTTTAAAGTGGACGTTTAAGAGCTATCAAAATAACGTTTCCAGCAAACGTTCGCTGTTTGTTAATTGAACGTTTAGCGAACGTTCAAGAAATGTAAATTGGAGTTCACAAAAATTTGTTCAAATAACGTTTGCAGCGTACGTTATGCAAACCTAAACGAACGTTATGGTAACGTTAATTTTTAGCAGGGGTGGACGTTCAAGAGCTATCAAAGTAACGTTTGCAGCAAACGTTAGATCAACGTTCGTTGTTTGAACGTTCTCAGCGAACATTTAAAAACTGTAAATCGGAGTTCACAAAAATTGGTTCAAAAGGACTCAATAATCTTAAAGACGTTACCAGCTACACCATAAGAAGAAAGCTTATGGAGAAGACCAGCATGCCAAACTTTATCAAAAGCTTTAGAAATGTCAAGTGCGATAGCCTTAACCTCTCCACCTCTATCTAATGCACGGTAAAACCTATCGGTTATTACTGTTAGCACATCAGCTGTAGAACGAGAAGACCGAAATCCATATTGATGATCAGAAAGTAAGTTATTTGATTCAAGATGAGAGATTAAGTGTTTGTTGATTAAAGATTCAAAAACCTTGCTTATGACAGGAAGAAGACTAATGGGACGGTAGTTAGATGAATCAAATCGCTCTCCAGAATTTTTGAAAATAGGGATAACAGATGCTGCTTTCCAGCATGATGGAAAAAAAGACTCTGATAAGCACTTGTTAAATAGTTTAGAAAGTATGGATGAAAGCTCCGGAGAACACCTCTGCAAGACTACAACAGGAATGTTGTCAGGACCACAAGCTGTTGAAGAGTCTAAGGAGGAAATTACTTTAGATACAGAAGCTGAAGTGATGCGAATGTCAAGCAAGGGATCAACCTGTTTGACGGCTATGTCAGGTAAAACAAAACTAGTGGAATCAAGAGATGATATTGATGAAAAGTTCTTAGCAAACAATTCAGCTTTGTCTTTAGGTGAGGTGACAAAGTCTGAACCATACAAGAGAGAAGGAATAACAGATTTGCCCTTATTATTGATACTGTTAAAGATTCTCCAGAAGTCTCGAGAGCCTAATTTTTGTGATGAGATACGAGATTTAATGACCTGGGAATAGCGAGCTTTGGCGTCAGACAAAACCTTTTTACAATGGTTTCTGGCGATAGTGAACAGATGTCTGTTTTCTGGAGAATTGTTTTGCTGATAGATATGGAAGTAACGGTTTCGATTAGAAATTGCTGCAGCGCAATGTGAGGAAAACCAAGGAGAAGAGTGAGGTTTGACCTGGAATCGTCGAGAGGGAATAAAAGATTCCATGCCAGCCTGAATCCACGAAGTTATGTAAGAAGCACATTTGTCAGCAGAAGACGAAAGATTTCTACCCAAGGGCCATCACGAAGAAAATCACGGAAAGAGTCCCAGTCAGCTTTAAGGTAGTTGTATGTGGTACGATGATAGGGGGATTCTGATAAAGTAGAAGAATTTGATAATAGTTTTAGAGAGATCAAACCGTGATCAGAGGTACCTAAGGGTGAATGTGGAGAAATTGAGCACTGACTAGGATCCAAAACAAGACATAAGTCGAGTAGAGAAGGTAAATGATTAGGGTTGTCTGGAAAACGAGTTGGAAAGTTGACTATTTGAGTTAGAGATTGAGAAAGGCAAAAGTTGAGGGCCTTAACGCCAGCAGAGTCACTGACA